GGCTCAACATTATGACCCAAACTCAACCCCATTTTAGAGAATAGACTCTAGGAGACTGTTTAAAACACACCCTATGGCAAATTTCAAAATAAAAGCCTCCCATTTCCGCTTCATCTACTGCCCTAATAACATGGAAAAAAGAGTGATTTAACGATTGGAAAGTCATCAACTATGATTGCTGGGTCTGAACATTTTCTCTAAACACAACTCTGTTGGACTTTCAAAATAAGACTCCAGGGACCCTACAAAATAAAAGCCTCTAGATTATACTAATGCAATAATTGATGCAAATGGCTCAACATTATGACCCAAACTCTTCCAGGTTGTTTTTATTAGACTCTAGTGACCTTTTCAAAACACACCCCAGAGCAAATTTCACAATAAAAGTCTCCCATTTACTCTGTAATACAGCAGCTATTCACCTAATAACATGGAAAACCAGTGATTTAACATTTGGAAATGGATTCTATATCACTGCTGGGCATGACCCATCTTTTGATGCACATCCATGATAGACTTTCAAAATAACACTACAGGGACTCTACAGAATAAAAGCCTCTTCCTTATACACACTCATACATTCTGGCATATTGCTCATAGCCATTTGTAATTTCATCACTGCAATGGCTCTGAGCATGCGGGCGGAGCCCGCCAATGGTGATTTCATCACTGCAATGGCTCTTAGAAGGCGGGCGAAGCCCGCCAATGGTGATTTCATCACTGCAATGGCTCTTAGCAGGCGGGCGGAGCCCGCCATTGGTGATTTTTTTCATCGCTGCAAGGGCTCCTAGCAGGCGGGCGGAGCCCGCCAACTGCGCTTTACCCACTGCGGTTCAATATGGACAACCCATATTACCCTTGTGCATCATATGCTGTGCACGTCTATTTCCCAGATTTCAGCACAAGTGGCACACAGCTCTCTTTGCCCATGACCTAGCCCTCTTTCCTTCCCTCAGCAGCCCTCAAAGGCGTAAGCAGTTGGTCTGGGGAGCCCCAATGTCACTTGCCAGGGCCGTATTGGCCCAGTTACCCAGACGGGCAGTAGGTGGCCCCCCTCAAAATTTCTTTAGAAATTTTCTAGTTATTATTATTATAGCTTATAGTTCTCCTCGTCCCCTAAAACTTCGGCGCGTAACTAGTCCCGCACGGTTTGTCGGATCGGGCCCAGAGTTGGCACACGCGTCGGGACCAATGGTGCGATGCGTGCTTGTATAAAACTTTCTCATTAGTCCGAAGGTTCGCGAATTATTAGCGAAAACGTCGCAAAAAAATCCCATAGGAAATGAATGGGGAGAGGTAAAAAAAAGCATAAAAAACAGCGCTTCACTGTGTCGGCATACATTCACTTAGAAAAACAGTTTAAAGCTCAGTTTGTAGATAAATCCTTCCTCTGCATAAAACTGAAGACGGCATGTTGATAACTGCTACGGTTTTTGTATAATCAGACCTCAAGCGCCACAAAGTTTTAGCAAAATCCACCCTTCTAGAGTGGAGAGACTGAAAAGCTAGAGTGTGAGGCAGCCGTTTTTTTAAGACCCAAAAACATTTTAAACTCGCCCTCACGGCCACATATTTATAGCTAGGGTCACCATTTTTGGTCAGTTTGTAGACTGAAACCTCTGGACCCACACAATGTCTTCGGAATTACGGTAGGATTAATACTTTTCCTTAAAAACCCTCCAGACCGACCTAAAGTTGATCAAAATCAGAGCCGTTTTTCATTGGTTTTGGAGCAGAAGAGGGGAGAAAAACGATTGACAGTATGTGTTTTAAACTCGTCATAAATATTGTTCTGAAAGACACACATACACCAAAGTTGGCATAGTTGGAGTTGAAGGATTGCTGACGCTCACGGTGAAGAAATTTTCTGAATAACTCATACGGTTTTTGCTCAGCAGTCGTTTGTTCGGAGGACATTTTAAGCACCAGAAAGCTGGGTGACTGACCTGCTGCAGCTAGCTCAATTAGAAGCTCAGCTGTGATGAAACGTTTTTTCTTTTTCTTTCTCTTCCCATTCAGGTTGTAGATGACCTACAGCCATGAAAGTTACTCCAATTGAAGACAAGATATAGCTGTCGCTTAGATAAAAAGAATTTTTCAGATACCTTTTACGGTTTTTACTCAGCAGTCGTTTGTTCGGAGGGGTGCTTTAGCAGCTTAAAGGTGAGTGAGAGTGAGGTCCTGCAGTTAAAACAAAGGGAGGAGCAGGTGGGATCAGCCATTTTGTTTGTGCTTCGTTTTGGGTTGTGAAAGACCTACAGACATGAAAGTTACCCCAGTCTGAGACAAAGGATAGATGTTGCTTTCACTGAAAGAATTTTTCAGATACCTTTTACGGTTTTTGCTCAGCAGTCGTTTGTTTGGAGGGTAAGCACCTGGAAGCTAGCTGACAGTTAGCTTCTGCAGCAGCCTGCTACAGTGCAGCTGCTGACATCTTACTGTGAGGCAGCCGTTTTTTTAAGATAAAACATTTTGTTCTTGCCTCACGGCCACATATTTGGAGCTACAGTCACCATTTTTGGTCAGTTTGTAGGCTGAAACCTCTGGACTCACACAATGTCTTCAGAATTACGGTAGGATTAATACTTTTCCTTAAAAACCCTCCAGACCGACCTAAAGTCGATGAAAATCAGAGCCGTTTTTCATTGGTTTTGGAGCAGAAGAGGGGAGAAAAACGAATGACATTATGTGTTTTCAACTCGTCATAAATATTTTTCTGAATGACACACATACACCAAAGTTGGCATAGTTGGAGTCGAAGGATTGCTGATGCTCACGGTGAAGAAATTCTTTGAATAACTCATACGGTTTTTGCTCAGCAGTCGTTTGTTCGGAGCTGTTCCTCCCATTCAAAAAAGCCTGAGAGCTAAGGAACGATAGTGCTGCGCTTTTCTCTCTGTCACTGACAGGCTCGTTAAGCGTTGTCAAGGTAACCGTGCTTCAAACAGATTTTACCTCTGCTGTTTTAAACAGCACATATTAATCTAATGGAGGGTGAAAGCACTGATTTAACATTGGGAAATGGATACTATATGACTGATGTCCATGACACTTCCCTTGCCACTCAACACTGATAGACTTTCAAAATAAGACTCCAGGGACCCTACAAAATAAAAGCCTCTATATTTTTTACATATATTTATTGCCCTATATGGCTCAACATTATGACCCAAACACAACCCCATTTTAGAGAATAGACTCTAGGAGACTGTTTAAAACACACCCTAAGGCAAATTTCAAAATAAAAGCCTCCCATTTCCGCTTCATCTACTGCCCTAATAACATGGAAAAAAGAGTGATTTAACGATTGGAAAGTCATCAACTATCATTGCTGGGTCTGAACATTTTCTCTAAACACAACTCTGTTGGACTTTCAAAATAAGACTCCAGGGACCCTACAAAATAAAAGCCTCTAGATTATACTAATGCAATAATTGATGCAAATGGCTCAACATTATGACCCAAACTCTTCCAGGTTGTTTTTATTAGACTCTAGTGACCTTTTCAAAACACACCCCAGAGCAAATTTCACAATAAAAGTCTCCCATTTACTCTGTAATACAGCAGCTATTCACCTAATAACATGGAAAACCAGTGATTTAACATTTGGAAATGGATTCTATATCACTGCTGGGCATGACCCATCTTTTGATGCACATCCATGATAGACTTTCAAAATAACACTACAGGGACTCTACAGAATAAAAGCCTCTTCCTTATACACACTCATACATTCTGGCATATTGCTCATAGCCATTTGTAATTTCATCACTGCAATGGCTCTGAGCATGCGGGCGGAGCCCGCCATTGGTGATTTCATCACTGCAATGGCTCTTAGAAGGCGGGCGAAGCCCGCCAATGGTGATTTCATCACTGCAATGGCTCTTAGCAGGCGGGCGGAGCCCGCCATTGGTGATTTTTTTCATCGCTGCAAGGGCTCCTAGCAGGCGGGCAGAGCCCGCCAACTGCGCTTTACCCACTGCGGTTCAATATGGACAAACCATATTACCCTTGTGCATCATACGCTGTGCACGTCTATTTCCCAGATTTCAGCACAAGTGGCACACAGCTCTCTTTGCCCATGACCTAGCCCTCTTTCCTTCCCTCAGCAGCCCTCAAAGGCGTAAGCAGTTGGTCTGGGGAGCCCCAATGTCACTTGCCAGGGCCGTATTGGCCCAGTTACCCAGACGGGCAGTAGGTGGCCCCCCTCAAAATTTCTTTAGAAATTTTCTAGTTAGTAATTTTATCACTTTCAGTCTTATTCTTTTTATTTCTATTCCTTTGGATTATTTTGTGACCATGTTTCAAAAAGTGTTTTAGCCTAAATTCTATTTATTTATTTATACGCTAAAACTGAATCAGACTAATTTTCGTAAAATATCCCGCAGTGCCTAGATCAGTATTTACAATAAGGACCGTTCTCCACTATTGTTAATGTATAATATATATAAAAGTAATAATTTAATCAAAGTTCAGCTGCATAAAAAATTTATTTTTAAGATTTTTTATCAAATTATAAGCAGCCAAAGTAAATGAGTAAATAGTAAATATAAATGCTAAATATATAAACATTTAGCATATATTTCTGCATATCATTCTGCATATCATGAACCTTCTTTCTGCTTGATTATTTAGTTAAATAGCGATTATAGTACTAAATTTAATATAATCTAATGGATTCAGCTTAGTAGTAAATATCATGAAGGAGAAATAAAGTGCTCTCCAATGTCAGAAGTAACAATGCACTAATTCTTTTTACTTTACTTCAGTCTGACAGAGATAATTAAAAGGACCAGGACTGGCTTTGTCAGTACAAAGGATGAGATTCAGATTCTCCCTGTTTGCTTTTCTATGTTGGTGTGTTATTGGTGGACAGTGTTATATTTCAGAATATAAAGCTCATTCATTAGTGTTTATTTACATATGTAACCTTAATTTCCATATTAATTCCTCTTTGTTATTCCGGCAGGCTTTTCTAACTGAGTGCTTGTGTGTGTGTTCTAGATAACCTTTTTAAGCCAAGGGAGAGGTCTATATCAGGCAGAGAGATGCATCTGAGGTCCAGACGGTGAGTTTTTTTAAACTAACTCCCTCAAAGACTGTCTTGTTTTTACAATACATTTAAACACATCAATTGTTCCTTTCAGCTATAGTACAGATACACAAAACACATACACATCCACATACTGTTGCCACCCATCAAATATTTGATCCTTAAATGTCTTAGTAGAAGATATGAGGTAACCTCTATATCTTATCTCCATTTTTTTTTTCTCTCTCTCTGCTTATCTGGTAAGGCACACCTGATCAGGTGAAGGCCTCCCATTGTAAATGTTTTTTTTTGTTTGTTTGTTTAGGGCTTTTTTTTTTCAAAGGCAATACTATCTGACTTAAAGAATCTCCTAACAAATTGGCAGTATTTGTGCAAGTGAGAAAGGGGAGTGCGTGTTTGCACCCTGTTTATCAGTGGATTCAAGGCTTTTTTTTTAATTTTTTATCCAGGCTGTGGTCTTACTTGATAAAACCTTGTCTCCAGAATCCCAGTCTGTTGGCACTGCTCAGCCACTGTTAGACTTCTGATACCATTTTCCTCTACCCTGTATGAATTTTCTTCTTTACGTCTGAAGGATTTACAACAAGCTGCCGGAGGTGACAAAGAAGAAGGAGGAGGAGAAAAAGAGGGCCATATCTCAAACCAACAGACTGCGAGCAGAGGTCTTCAAAAAGGTAAATGGATCAATCTAAAAGTCTCATTCCTTTGGAGGTTTCAGCATGAGACTCATCAGCTGTAAATTCAATGATTGTTTAAAACCAGTCTGACAAAAATAAAAGTTAAATTATAATTACACGGCAGTATATATTATTTGACAAAAACAGAGCCAATCTTTAGTTGGTATACGTATCACGAGCATGGATCTAAATTATCTTTTATCTGTTAATAACCTTTGACTTTGAAAACATTTGCTACAAACATCCTGCTTGTACTGTGGTGAGATTAAGCTAAAAATAGTTTCAACTTTTTAAGCAAGAGCTGAATATACGTACAAGCTGGAACTTGTTGCTGAGGGTTTTTTTTTATTATTAATTCACACATAGAAGATTGGAGGCACGTGGTTTGTTCCACAGACTTCCATTTTGGGTCCTTGAACAAGACTCCATGCTCCATCCCATGCAAGGTACAAGGCAAGCCAACTCCTCCTTAAGCATGGGTTATGGTAAATGGTAAAGTCAGGGGACTTGACCAAAGCACTCACTCATTTACACACACACACACACACACACACACACACACACACGCACACTGATGGTGGCAAACTACATTGTGGCCACAGCTGCCTTGGGTCTGACAGAAGCAAGGCAGCCATACACTGGTGCCACCAATCCCTCTGACCACCATCAGTAGGCAATGCGGGTGAAGTGTCTTACCCAAGGACACTTCATTGAAAGTCGGAACCGGGGCTTTTACCGACAAGAAACTCCTGATTTAAAGTAGTGCAAATAAAGTTTTTTTTTAGAGATATGTTATTCCAGTCTTTTCTCTACATTATAATTGTATAGGCATCTTCAATTTAGAAGATTCAGTGGTTGCGTTGCAGAACCATCCATCCATCGATCCATTTTCTTTACATGCTTAATCCCAAGTGGGGTCACGAGGGATGCTGGTGCCTCCAGCTTTCCATGGGCGAGAGGCGGGGTACACCCTGGACAGGTCGCTAGTCCATCGCAGGACACTTTGCAGAACCAACCTTGGGTTATTACCCAACTGTACATAAAGATGATTTCATAATTTTCAAAGTGATTTTTAAGTTTTGTTTTTTGCAATAAAATTAAAGTTCAGCTTATTTTTATTTTTCTTAACCCAGACAATTTAATGAAACACTGTGTACTTATGTTTTCTTAGAAAAAAATGTTATGTGATTTTTCTGTTATCAGAATGATGTCCAAACCTCTTGAGATAGAATAGAGGAAAAGAAGTAGTGCAATACAAATAGGCATAGTTTGTAGCACATTTGCATTTAAATTCCTCGGTTAGGGTCTTTGTTTATGCAGTTTGCATGTTCTCTTGTTCCATGCATGGGTTCTACCTGGGTACAGCTGAGTACAACTTCCTCCTACATTTCAAAAGCAGGACTGTTAGATCAGGTTGATTGTTGTCTCTAAATTTCCCTTAAGTGCGTGTATGTGTGTGTGTATTGTTGCACATCTTTGTGTTGCCTTGTGATGGGCTGGTGACCTGTCCTTTTGGCCAAAGACTGCTAGTCATTAATTAGATATTATTTTAAAGCTTTTTAACAGTTTTTAATCATTTTCACAAAAAATGTCATAGTAGTTTTACATGTCATAGATCTAAAATTAGAGGAAGGGAGCCCCGTTAAATGTAAGACTTCACCTATTAAATAATTCTACCAAGTAAAAAGGAAAGTACCAACTAGTAATGGTACCTCTTTGTTGGATTTGTTGACATTTTTAACTAAATACTACAAAGTAACTGGTTATTGGGTGAAAAATGACAATATGACAGCAGGATATTGTCCTGTTCAACAAATGAAACCAAAACAAAGCAGTTTTTATAAATTTCACCAGTTGAGATGCAGGGTTAATATATGAGAGAATGAGATAAACTGTGATTTTTTTATGACTTCTTATGAATTAATACATTCATTTTTAAGGGAAAAGTACATTTTTATTTCATCCAGCAGAGGTCAGTCTTAAACAATTTACACCTTGTGTTTCTGGTTTTCAGTTTCTCTGAACTATCATCCAAATATTTATTACTATTGGGAAAGTTTTTTCTTATTTAATAGTCAAAAAGATCAACATCTTCCTTTTTTAAAATATATTGTATTCCTTAACTTGTGACATCAGATGAATAATCAAAGTGTTGCCTGTGCTCTTACTTTCAGCACTATACACCATTACTGTATAATTCAGCACCAGAATGAAGCACATTTTTCTGCTTTCTCTGATAGATGGGGAGAACTTGGGAAATAAATGATGTATTTAGGACATGCATTGTCAGACAGACCCCCGCATTTTCACCTGTGGGTGAACTATCTCTATCTTTCCTGTAAAACCTGACAATTAATTCTCTGTCAACTGGAGAGGAATTCTGTGAATTTTTTCTGAATCGTTTCTATGACTGACTATTTTACTCTGAGGCTATTTTTACCGAAGGCCAAAGAACAATCTTTAAGGAAAATATCAAATCCACGGTAAACCAGAGTTTTGCTTCACTGACACAGCTGGCAAGTCTGCGCTCTGCTGAAGAATAGTACATTTCTTGGTGGAATTTTGCAGCTATGATGCCAGTGTGACCTCACCACCTATAAAATGAAGCCATTAGTTGGGCCCTACCACAGAGTCTGGGAGAAAAAGAATGACTTTCTTCTGAACAAACGCTGTGTGATTTGAAGGCCTCATTTTTATCTCACACAGAGGGGAAGCCCAGCAGAGACTCACAGCCAGGGTCTGATAGCACATAGTAGTGGGTGGGTGGTGTTGAATGCTGTCTGAAATGAGATTCCAGCTGTTGGGTAGTACATTTGTAGGAGAGTGATTGCACAGAAGTCAGATAGCAGACTTATTCCCTTTACCTATAGGCCTGGCCATCTAGGAGTGGGGAGTTGATGAGTGTGAAAGCCATTAAGCAGTGGTAGCTGACAGTGTGGTGCTGAGCTGCTGCTAAGAGACCGAGAAAGGGAAAGAGTGGGTACTGATGAATGGGTTTGGATCAGTCTATTGAAGGGTCAGATCAGTAATATTTGTGTTTTTCTTGTCTTACAGAGACTTCTGGAACAGATCCTGCAAAGATGAAAGCGACACCATCAGAAACCACCTTGTAATAAAAACTGCCTCCATGTGCATTCCACTCTTGGGTTATGTCTCCTAACTTTCCACTCTTTATATTGTTATAAACAGTGAAACTTGATTTTTTTTTTCTCATGTTGTTCCCAAATTCTCTCTTTCCAGTTAGAGACTGCCATGGTGTGAAAAGTATATCTGCTTCTCATATCTGTATACAAAGGTGAAAGGTTAAAAAAAAAAATCTACAGTAGTTAGTGTACTTTGGGAAGTGGACCACTGGAGGTACTCTGACTATAAACCAAATTAATGCTGTTATATTTACCGTGTTAGTGAGCTCCAGTCTATAAAGAGCACAGTGACGATGTGTGTTTCCTTTAGGCTATTTCTAAATACAGGAAGAATTCATCAATACTATCTATATTTAAAAATGACACTGAATAGGTAGCTTAAAAAGAAAAATTATTGTTTAACTTTTAATATATTTTAATATTTTTGCACAGTTATGAATAACTGTAGCTTTTCTATTATACATAACAGTAGCTCTGACTGACACTTTGATCATGTCCTACGTTGTAGTTTAAATATTTGTTTTATTGCTATAATACAATGAAACCAAAACTTTTTAACACAAGGTTATCCTAGCATACAGTCTAAAGTTTTTTTTTCTTCAAAAAATGTCTGTCACAGTTTGATAGATGCCAACTGAAAACAAATACTAACTAAAACAATTCCTGTGAAATGGCTGCAACAGAAAAAGAGCTTTAAAAGAAGATAAAATCTAACCATATATCATAGTTTAATTCTTAATATAAAGGCATTTTAAACAGCAACAGTAAATGTGCAACTATAATACAGAATTAAGGCTTTGATTTGAAAATATTTATTAAATGGTATATTACCAAAGTGGATCATCACAAAAGTGTGTCTACAATTAAACTATTAACACATGATGAGGTAAATACTTGTTTTTAATGTTAAATTATCAAATCTAGTAACACCATCTGCAGGTAATTTAATTAGTGTTTCAAGTTATTTTTAATCCGTTTTATGGTTTCAAAAAGTGATTTGCTTCAGGTAAAAATATTCTCCGAGCTGAGCAACCTCACGTACTTTTTGGGACAGTTTTGTCCTTGCAGCGAGGGAGCAAGACCATGTTTCAGTGTTGGCTTCACGTCTGCCTCAAGGCCACTGAAATCCCCGATCTGGAACGGTAGAGTTTCAAGCTAATCAAACTCATGAGACACATGGTGCCTGTGAAAAAAGGTCCTCTGTCATGGAGCCCCAAACCAGAGATGACTAAATTATAACAGAGGAGGCTCCTAAAGTGCAGCCACGGACCTTTTTATGCATATAGTCTGTAAAGGTGACAGAGAAGTCTCTGGCATTTTAAATACAGTAGCACAAGCTGGGACAAGGCAAGAGTTAACAAAGAAAACCTTTAAACATCCAACTTTGAATGTGTATGTATGTGAATCACATACAGCATTTACAGCATGTGAATAATACTCAATAAATAAATCTGTATTACACAAAAACTTTTTTTCCTAAGGATATTTATTGATAATGTTTAGGTACTGCAAAGAATATTTTCTGTTTACATCTCCCCTGCCTGTGTTACTAAGAAATCTTTTAGGAATGACTCCACATTGGATAGCAATTTTCCTGCTGCCATGTCGGCAGGTTTCAGAAGTTGAGCACTAACTGACAAGAGCTATATTTGAGGAGACAGGCTATTGTCAGTCAACTTCTCTCTCTCTGAGGAATCATGTGTCTGGATGTCACATTAATGTCTCTGCATAATGTGGACTCTGCCCTTAGGTCCCTCCACAGGCTAGAATGACTCAGCTACCCTCAGGTTATCTCGCTGTGGAAGCTTTTAAAAAGAAGATAAAATTGGCAAAAAGACCGAAACATCCAAACACTGAGCCTCAGCTTTCTTGATTTATGGCAAATAAATTGAATATTTTCTAAGAAAGCTTTCAGTGAATGAAAAGTTCAGTTTAAAGTTTGCCATGAGCTATATTGGGAAGAAACGTGAGCAAGATCGGAACATTCCTGTCCAATCTTCGGATTAAAAAAACTGCATCACATTAGGTAAACTCTTACTAAACAACTCTTTGGACATAGCAATGCTCCAAAGCAGCTATAAACCTGTTTGTTTTAAGGCATATGTGTGTGTTAGAATGCCCCAGTTAAAGCAAATACCTAAATATGATTGAAAAAATATGGAAAGTCCTGAAGAGATCACAAACAACATCCAATTTGGCTGAAATTGACTGAGAAATGGAGGCTGCAGAGGGACATCTGTGGCTCCTTATATTTGCCCCTTAGTGTACAAATTAAGTAAGATTAAGCTGAACCATTTCAGTTAGCAAACATAAGACATAGATGAGATCTAAATAAAGAGAACATCCCTAAAAACCTCCCTGGAGGCTATACAGTGACACAATTCACACAATTCACATAACTATAGTTCTGTTAGTTTTTTCTAACAAAAAGTTAAAGAGGTAATTGGAGGAAAAATCTCTCGCTGCAGAAAAACACTTATGTAATACATCACTTTAAGGAGTTTGATTTCATTCTATACAAGCTATTCCAATATTTAATTGAAAAATACTTCTGAAACAGTAGCAATTGCAAATGTCTTCCTAATTATTTTATTGATTTATTATTGATACTTGAAAACCTGTCCATAAAACTGGAATGGGGGAGTTTATGAACCAGTCGTTTCTACATTGGACTTGTAAGATAAAACACTAGAAAGGAGTTTGGGAACAACATGAAACAAAGGGTCTATATCCTTGTTGATTCATGTGTAAAAACAATTATCATTAGCACATTAAGAAATGCCCTCCCTTTATTTCATATCTAATTGTCTTCCATCCATGGTTTAAAAAAAAACCCAGATGTGTCTCTGTAATATGTTCCATTAGGACTTTAGCTGAAATAATAGCAACAAGCATTAAATCTGTATCTCCAAATCTCATTACTTCTACCCATCCATTGTCTATACCCACTTTCCATTAACAGATCACAAGCTTTTCTCGGAAAACTGGATTTATGACATCAAAGCCCCTGAGACGATGAGATAAACTGCACTAGTCTAATTTCTTAATGTACTTTTTCTTAATACATATATATGAGCATCTGTTGTTTCAGTGCAACATGTCAACAATAAAGTTGAAAATATTTTAGACATGTTAGATTGTTGGGTCGCTGTTTAATATCGACAAATAAATTCTTTATTACGACAATGATTTTAAAAGAGGAAAATATATATATTTTTTATTGCATGGTTTGATTAATCGCAAATTATTTACACATGTCCACAACAGTAAAATTTTTAACCATGTGCTCTAGATAATAGTTTTTGACTATTTTTAGTCCATGGAAGAATTCTCTTAATCATTAAAGACAGTCCTTAGGATTAAATATGGTACCTTTCAGACATGCAGTCATTTTTGTCTTGTTACACTCACAAATGTCATTTTGTTGGAGGTTTGTGCCTGAAAATAACAGAGGATAGCAAATAATCACCAACTAGATCTGAAAAATGTACATCTGTATTCTTGACTCAATATTTTGTGCAACTACTTGTGGCTGTGACTTAAACAACTTGCTTTGCACATCTAGAAATGTTCCATGTAAATTTGTTTTATCGCACTTATATTGAGGTATTGTTTTTTTTCCCTCTTCATTCTCAAGTTGCCTGTTGTTGTCTGCTGGATTCCATATTTCTTATGTGCACTGGAAAAACGATCTAATAATAAGTAATAATGTCTTAAATTAAGTGTATTTAGCCTTAATTTGAGTAGGTAAAATGAGATGATTTGCCAATAGAATGAGTAACTTCACTCTTAAAATAAGATATTTAGATAAAATGCACTTGAAATAAGACAATGCAATTGTGTATTTTTTATTTTGAATGTAAATTGTCTTGTTCCACTGGCAAAATGTCTCTTTTATCTCCTCGATTCAAGATCAAATGCACTTATTTTAAGAAAAAAAAAACTTATCTAGATTTTGATTTTTTTCCTATGTGTCTGTTAGTCCAGCCTCAAACATATGCCTCCTTATGTCCTGCTGCCCATTCTTTAATGAAAGGTACAAGCAAGCATGTCTCTGGGAAATTAAACCTTTTATACCTTTTCCCAATCCCCCTTCAGTATATATTCAACAGGGACCGCATACCTACAAAACATACATGTCGGTTTCTTTAATCATTTAAAATGCTTAGGTGTGTTTTAGTTTTTTTTTTTTTCTAACACTTTGCTTCATTCCACCTCCTATAATATAACATTTCCATGAACATATACATTTTTTTTTTGCTAAATTTCATTAATATTCTATCTGTCTTAGGGGCCAGCAGGGGGACTCAGCACAGTCTTATGGTCGCCCTAGAATGAGGGTGGTACTAACAGTATTGTAAATGAGAAAAGTCTTTAACTAAACCCTCTTTAGGACCAAGCAGAGTCAGGAGCGCACATGGCATAGTGTTGCTGCTCCATCAGGTCCGCTGCTTCACCTTCTTCTCTATCATCTCTCCACTCATCTGCGCGTTCAAACTCAACCATTTAAGAAGAGACAAAAAGGCAGAAGAAAAACAGATGATCTTGTTTGTTTATCCATATTTTTGCGCACTCTGCAGTCTGAAATATGTTTCCCGTAGTAAGGAAAAGTTTATGACAACCAGCTGCATCTCATTGAAGTCCCCTCCCTCTTAAATAAACTGCTCTAACCTGGATATAACCCATCGCTGTGTGATCGGAGGATTCCTGCCTCTTTTTCATCCCAGCAGGCGTGATGAGAGGCTGGAGACGCCGGAGGAACTTTTCCTTTCTGCGCTTTGCGCTCCACCTCTGGTATCTCTCCACAGCCCTGGGGAATCTCACAGACCAGGATTTCAGCCGACAGGATGGTAAGTTAGTGGAATATGTGGAATCTATTTATAAACAAAATTAATTTCCTTTATAAGCAATTTTAAGATGAAATATGTTGAGTCAGAGCCATATGTAAACTGAATAAGTAACATTCCCATCCAAAGTTAGGCTGCCAATCAAATCTATTTCGCCCTACAGAATCCCAAATCTTTGCCATGTGAGCATCATTTTCTGGAACATATTCAGTCTGTTCCAGCTAAGCTCAGCCAAGCTGTTTACTTCACAGTAGAGGAAGGCAGGAACGATACAGAGTTTGTTTTTTGTAGATCAGTCTTTGCGCAACAATAAAAGGAAGTCGGGCTGCTGTCAGATGAACAGATGAGTTTAACATCCAGGAGGATGCAGCTTCATCTCTAGCTTTCAAAACATAAACCAAAACAGGATCTTTTTTTTTTTCACCATGCTCTAAATTTAATCTGCTGAATTGATAAGACCGTGTATCTTGTGTGAGAGAGGCTGGAGTAGGGCTTTGTGACATAGTGCAAATATTTTCTCTTGAATGTGGTAATAGGAGCAAATATGAAAGATACAGACAGTAAAGAAGATGCTCTATTCACCACCAGACTCAAATAAACAAGAATTTCAGCATCCTGTGGTGATATGGGGTGCTTTGAATAGCAATGAATCCTCTTTGTTTGAGTATAAAACTATCCACTCTGGAAATAATACAAGTTTCCATGATTTTAAACTTCCTCGTCTTATTATTCAATCCAATGCAGCTCCTATAGGTTTCTATTCAATTATCTGCATCACTGAAATATTATTACTTCTCCTGTCAAAATGGCACCAGAAGTAAATATGATGCAGCTCAGGAGGTGTTTACTGCTTACATCAGCTCAGTGTGGTACCATTTAATCTTTCACCCACAGGTTTAGTTCATATATAAATGCAGAAGGCAAAAAGAGTTTAAAGGGGCAGCATGAGTGTTGAAGTAGTTCAGGATGTTTGATGTCAGCAGGATGTGGACTCTTGTTTCTTGCAGCTCTACCTGTGCTGAAATGGTACCTGACTATGTCATGCTGCAAATCTAAGTGTCAGCAATATGGTCGGTTAAATACAGTTGTAAAAGATGACTTACTTAAATGTGCATCTTATGCTTATCCATTAAATCTTTCCATCTATCACTACATGGAATTATATTTTAAACATATTTGTTCTTTTCCAAACACAATAGACATTAGAAGCAATTTGTCTCCATTTTACCACAGCAATACTGTTTTCTCAGAACAGTTTCCTTTGCCAATTACTTTTTTTTTGTATTCTATTTAAGGTTCAGTTTTTAAAAAATAACTACAAAAAAAAAAAAAGAGAGAAAATCACCTCTGTTTCTAAAAGTATTTTTTTAATCGTCAAAGAGTTCAAGCTGCAGACAGGGCTATCACATTACGGATCATATGTTGTCACTAACAATTTTTTCCCAGAATCTTTTTTTTTTTTGGCAAAGAAGTGTAGGGCTGAAACAATTAATAGGATTAATCATGATTAATCGATTATTGACATAGTCATCATTTAATTCAGTATTGGATTATTCATTAATTGGGGTATAGAGACTCTGAAAAATGCCTTTAGCTGACAGAACAACTCTCTTAGAGCAGTAATAATAATACTATTATTGTACAAAAAATATGTAAAATAGTTCCATTCTAGATGAAAATGTCTAGATGCAAAACTTGTTAATCTATCAATATGCTCTACCCAGAATTCCTCAAGTGGAAAAGTTTTAGTTTGATTTGGTTTAATTTTGCAAAAACTCTTCTTTAAGGAAGCTTTTGCTATCCGATTATTAATCAATTCTTAAAAAAAAAAAAAAAATCGACAGATGAATCGATTTGCATTATAATCATTAGTTACAGCCCTGCTACTAATATTGAAATACTTCTTTAACTGATACACAAGTGTGAACTGCTTAGGAGACATTATCATTCTCTGAGTGCAAAGGTAAGGTGGCTACATTTGGCATATTATTTGCTTTTCAAACATGCATTTCTGTATTTAAAAAGGTGTATTTTCATGGTGTTTAAGCTAATTAGCAGACTGAAAGGATATTACTCTGTATATTATCATCTTCCTATTAGGCGATAATGTGATGCATCATGTTTGGAAAAAAGGCTTTTCTGAAAACCAATATCAAAATCCTGCTTTTTACATGTTGACAGATTTGTGACATATCTTGGAAACGACAACTAAAGCGGATAAATCTGTAAAATACGGTTTTACACATGAGCTATTAGAATATTCCTTCCAAAAATAGATTTTTGGCTTTCCAGCGACATAAATCCGACACAAATGGTTACTTAACTTAAGCCACATTTTTAATAAATTTGAGGCTGAACAGAACGTAGTGTAGGAAAACATACTTAACAGGGCTCGCTGCAGACCTGGGGAGATGAACTCCCCCATTTTCCTTGCCACCATTCTACCACTGTTAGTTCTGCAGCCCAAGTTATAGACAGGCTGTTTTGCTGATATTCATTTTCTTCATTGCCAGTACTCAACTGCAGTCAAATACCTGGCCACATTTCATATACTATAGTGTTAGCTGTTATTAAATCAAGTAATGCATCAGAATGTATATGCTTTTGTCTGTAGTTATTTTTAAGCTGTTGTATCTGATTATCTTTTCATACAGTATGAAAGATAATACAGTTCATACAGTTCTACAAAACCATAAAAAGTGCTTAAAACAGATTTATATTTATAATAAAGTTTTAATAACCCAGAATTTTTAAATGAAATGATGAATGAAAAGTATAATTTATACAGCTGCAACAAGCCTTTGTAAACATTTATTTTTTAAGTTAAAAACTCTGCCAAAATTACACACAACATAATACTGATATGCCTATTATTACATTGTATAAAACAAATGCACATAAACTACTATCCGAGTCTATTTTCAACAGTTTATGCAAGCAGATTTACCATGAGATTTATCGTCTGTCACAAACATGATGCATGTGCCTCTTCAGCTCCTCCTTTTATATTTTAGAGCAGAACCAACCTGAAAAAGTAAACTGTTTCAGATTGGCTTCAGGAAATCACACCTTTACTGTTTTCTCTTTAGCTGCAGCCAGTAGCATTAGCAAAGCATCTTTAGATTTTGTTACGCTGCTGGTTCGTTCTCTGTGTTACTAACACAGAGGTGATGCATTTATGCTTGGGATTCATTGGGAGCTCATGATATTGAATTTGCACCCATAGAATGTTTCAAATATGCATGTAAAGTAGCTTACTGTATGTGGTGTGCTTTGTTTGTTTCAAACTACTTTGTCAATGGTTAGGCTTAATCAAATTATTATCATTTAAATTATGCCAAAAAGGATATTTGTTGGTATTTCTTTTACTTTGAAATAAAAAAAAATTGTGATCTAAAACACATCTTTGTATGTTCTCGGTAAATGTAAGAATAAAAGCAGTGACATTAAACTGTTACAAGAAAAATATTTTCAGAAGATACAATCAAGATGTTCTGGGTCATTTTGCAGGTTGTGCAGTTTTTGCCACTTATTTTGTGACCATTTCATTAAAATCATTTCATAACCATGTACCTAAACAATATTATCTTAATTTAATTGTAGTTAATGCCTATATATAATATATGTTCATACTTTGGTTAGTTTTGCTGTTATAATAAATTTAGTTGGCTTTGCTAGTTAAGTATTTTTCATGAACTGGTGGGATAAGTTATGACATGCTTAAAACTGCAAAAAAATGCAAGTCACTTTTGTTTTATGCACAGAAAACTTTGTGTACTTATTGTAGACTGTGTTATAGCCCAAACCCCCAACCCGAATCAGAATTATCAGCCCTAAACATGTAGAAAAATCTTGAAGGTTTAAAGACAGATTTTTTTTTTTATTATTTGTTTAAAGCAAAACAGGCAAAAATTAAGTTTCTTGGTTCCCCCATCATAACAATTTTTCAAAGAATCAGAATTCCTCTATTGCAGTATTAGGAGGACACTAAATGACTCAGATTAGCTTTTAGGATATCAGGTGGTTAGACTGCACCCTCAAACAGAATTAATTAAAGATTAGAATGCCTTTGTTGTCTAAGCAAACTGTCAGAGAAGAATGAGGCTTGTCTCAAGAGCCTCTAAAACAGAAATTCACGTACATGCTCTTGGGCCTCTGATATATACATCTATTGCACCGCTTTCAGTGTGCTCTCCTGAGTAGTAACTCAAACCGATCAGTCTGTGGTGGAATGTTGACACATGACTGTGTAAAAAAGGAAAAAGGAAACATTCTGTTAAAACCATTCAGGAAATAACCTAAACCTGGTTTATCTTTCTAGCCCTTGGGGTGGCTGCAGTTTGACATTTTGAGGACAGGCTGGCATTGATTTGTTGGCCATGAGGGACGGACATGCACTGTTAGAAACGTCTCCATGTGTTAAGCATCAGTGGTCATTACGGCCATTGGGGTGATTTAGCTTTCTCCTGCTCTGTCTGTGGATGGCAGGGTTACAGATTTAACAAATTAGACGGCTACATGAGAGGACACAATACAAGAGGCATGGACTGCTGAGAATCAGTATATTGATGTCTGTGCTTGAATCTAAGTCCAGGAGAAGAAGAGAGGAAAGAAATGCTGGGTGTGAAATCTGGGTGTTTGGCAGTAAAGCTGTAGCACCCCTCTCCTTTGACAAACAGCTGCTAAATATTTTTGATTGAAAAAGGGGGTGCAGTGGGGAAAAAAGAGATTATCCAAGCATGGCTATGATGAAAACTAATCAGTTATATTTACAAGACAAGAACAATTCTTCCCTTAAAGTGTCTGATTGTTTTGCTCTTTCAGATTTTTAAAGGTTTTAGTTTCACCTGTTTCATTCATTTCATTAACATTCTTCTTTAAGGAACCTTTTGCTACACCATTATTAATCGATTAATTGAAAAAATAATTGGCAGATTTGCAAAAGGATCTTTAGTTGCAGCCGTATTGTCCACATCTGTTCACGGGTCCAGCAACTTCACATA